CTCCTCACTTCCATCTTCATTTTTTTCTTCTTTTCTGTAAGTACAGCTCCCCTCACCTTACTAATTCTGGGCCTTCAAGGGTTCAGGCCTAAGAAGGGGATACTGTCATATCCATCCCCGGCCATTGACTTCTGATCCCTCCGGTCTACTTCTGCTCCTTCTCCACTAACCTCGGAGCTCCCGTATTCCGCAACCCCCTCGGTACCCCTCAATGGTCACCACCCCCTCCTTTCAATTTATTACCTACACCTCCCTAAGTACGGAGCCCCAAAGGCTTCCGGACAGCTCCGATGTCTGCTAGCGCACTCCTGCCTCCACTGGACAATACACTTGCTTGCCCTGCAAGCCCACCTTCAGGCCTATCCCTCCTTTCCATTTCTGGGTTATTGCCTGCCTTTCCGTTAACCCCATAACCCGACTCGTCGGTAATATTCAATCAGCTAATGTCTAACCCCATTAGCTCCGCTCGCCATTTGTGGACCCGCCCTCACTGTAACTATATATACTTAACTTGTACATAGGTTACACTCCAGTAATAAAATCAACTAGAGTTTACCCTCTTTAGTTCTGGTTGCCAGTTTAGTAAGTTAGGGCACGGACATGTTACTTGGCACAGTGCTCCTGGCACAAGTTGCTGAGGCTGAAGCCCTCCGCCATGGAGACACTCCTTCGTCTCGACCTGGTCTCTGACAGGCATCACTGAGTGACAAATTACAGAGAAGACTGATGGGGCAAGATAGGTGGTGGGGAAGTGGGAGAGTGGTAGTGGACAGGCACCTTTGCGGGGCTGTGACATCTGTGCATCATCATCATTCCAGCTCCAGGCATTGGATATTGAAGGCTTCAGCATTCCACCTCAATCAAAATAATGAGCTTTTTTGAAATACCCATTCAAAGAAGACCTTTAGCTTTATGACCACAAGGATTCACAGGTCAGCCAAGAGGACACTGCGCAGGGAGAATGACTGAAGGTGAAAGGCACAGACCTCTGAACCTAACCAGACTACCCTCACACACACACACAGGTAACAAAGGGGGAGGAGCAAAACTGCAGTGTTGTCAGACTCACTGGTGGACCTTCCTACTAGGTCTGAAAACCAAACTTCCATCAAAAAAAACCAACTAGTGGACCTTCCCTAGGGCTGAGCAAGGCATCCTGCCTTCTCAATGTCACCCTAAACCTAACTGAACTTGTTCACACTCCCAGACATGGTACTGTCAGACTGGCTCCAAAGCAGGAAGGAGAAGATCTCTTTGTTGGAATATGGGATGGAGTAACCTCCCTAACCATCAGGGATGGAGTAACCTCCCTGGCATAACGGGCGAGTAGTGTATGGATGCACGCTAGAGGTCCTGGGTTCAATACCAGGCTTGTCCATTTTATGTCATTTGTCCAGTCACCTGGTTTACCTCATTTGGATATCATGGAGTAAGTCCGGGCAGGCAACGTGCAATTTCTTCACTCTTATCATACTAGATACATGCTTGTATATAACTAAAGTTAATGTCTGAGCAATCCAACCGTGTTAAGGATGGATAGAAATGGACAGAACAACATAGAACAAAGAAAACAACAGAAAACATAAAAAATATATGGGTGCAGCCACACAACCGATAGAATTCGACGATCTCCACAACAGCTGCACAAAATCTCCCGATATTGGACTTGTTCGACTCGTCTTGACGGTAGCTTTCCAACGATATCAAGTGTGTCTGGATTGGAGAAGAACTGGGGGAGTTATGGTGAAAGTACTGTAAAAGCGGCCCGATATGGAAACTAAGTGGCCATAACCTGGTCTGGAAAAATATCAAAAAATACAGGGATGATGGGGGAAGTGCAACGGGCTTTGGAGGGCTGGGGGATTGTGTGTCAGGTCCCAGGTAATGTCTGTAGACCACTATATGGTGCTGTTTGGGTACTACCAGCTCATCCCTCCTACAACATCATTTATTTCAACTGACCATTGCAATCCTACACACAACATAATAAGGCAGATGGCTCTTGATCCACTCCATCGCAAAATGAGGACATAAACCAAGGAAAGAGGGATTATTAGGGTGTTAAACAATCTGGCTGATGTCAACGATGATTGGGGCTTTCATCTCACCCTGGATAAGAAATCGAGTTCCATCTTTACTAGCCTGGGGAAGGTAAACCCTGCTGGTTCCCCCATGATGGGGTACATCACCCTCTGAATATATATCTTGATCACCATACCAGGCTCTTGCATTGCATTTGAGAACCTCGTCATCAGGGACCATTTGTTGTTTGATTGGTCTGTAATCATAATCCCATGATCGGAAAGCAAGTTCAATTCTCCCATTGAGAAAGATTTCATAGTCGTACACATTGAGGGGGAGAATTAATGGGACTCTTCCTGCTGCACACGAATAGGCTTCTGCACTTGTCCTATCCACCCATGCAGATGGAAGGTGAAGGTTGTAAAAAGGGCACTTCAGCCAAGATATATCAGAGTCATGCCTGGATAATGACGAGTCGGAAGTTTTTCCACAATTCATATCCACTTCTGGGACCAAAGGAATGGCAGATGGGAGGATCATGGGGATAGGGATGGAATATGAGCAAGGGGGAGCAACTCCAGTATTGATGATCCACTTGTTGAAACCTTGTGTGCGAAATCGTGCAATCAATTCACCTGAATATGTTGACCAGACAAAAGCATCATGTGCATCATAAGCACAGACATATCGGCCTCCAGGAGAGAATCCAAGCGATTGTCGCAAAGGAAGGGAAAGGCATTCAGAAGACTGAGCAGTAGAAGGAGGTGTGAGAACCCGAATGGATGGGTTGACTGAGACACACAAGAGCATTGTGTTCTTGTACCAAATGTCTTTAAAATTTCGTGCAACTCGTACAACAAAACATCCATTGTCCGACACTGTAGTTAGGGGAGGGTAATGACCACTGGGAAGAATACCAAGCTTTGCCACAGGCATTTCATGGCTGAAAATGCTAATGTTTCCTTGAGTATCTTCAGTGGCAATATGGGCATTACCACCATGGATAAATTCAATCCAAACGGGAGGATTGAGAGAATCGCTCTGAAACTGGCAGATTGTGTGCTGATTGTCAATGTCAGCTACTTCGATAATACCACTTCCAAATCCGAGTGCTACGCGATGGCCATCTTTTGAGAGCGCTGCACAGGTCACAATACCATTGCGAACCATCAGCAAAAAATTGTTATGCTCCTGAGTGCTCCGGAGTATCAAGAGCACTGGGAGAATCAGGAGGAGATTGGCCGGTCCAGGAACAGCCCATTTCCTCCGGAGTTGGCTAGGTACTCCAGGGCACTCCCAGGAGGGCCTGGAGCATTGCTTTGTGCACAAACATATCCAGTAAATACAATTTAAATGCTTCAAAGTGTATAGGGGTGAGAAGCTTCTGGGAGCTCCTGGAGCATTTGAAAATGAAAAGGAAAAAAAGAGGGAAGATCCCCCATGAATACCTCCTACCACAAGACTAACACAACAAGACACTGCTTAACATTTAGATCAAACACTATACTATATATCAAGGACACTGAGACTCACCAATACACAATCAAAATTTATGGCCTGATATATGATTAATCTGGCAACTTAATCACTTTCGGGCTGGCAGAATATGGGGGAGGGGGAAATGAGGGAGAATGAGGGGGGGAAATGAGGGGGAAATGAGGGGGAAATGAGGGGGAGAATGAGGGGAGAATGAGGGGGAGAATGAGGGGGGGAATGAGGGGGGAATGAGGGGGGGGAATGAGGGGGGAATGAGGGGGGAATGAGGGGGGATATAGAGGGAAATGAGGAAAATTTGAAAAATAGGGACTTCTAAAAAGTTGAAAAAAATAATTAGGGAAAAAATCAAAAAAATTCAGGAACTGTAGTGCCTTTGAAGTGCTTTCAGGATATATAATTATTTGCAAAATCAAGGAAGAAATGATGGAGAAAAATGGAAAATACTTTCGGAGACCCGAGAAATAATGAGAACTGAATTGATGGGAAAGTCTGAAAATTGAATAGGGAAGTGAGGGGAAGCCTTGTAGCATTGTTATTTTCTGCTGTTCTAATTTTTCCTGATTGTTCTTGGTCTCACTCCCAGCTGCTACTGGATACTCCTGGATACTCCTGGAAGCTCCTGGGAGGGTCCAGGAGCAGCTAATGGAAAATACTTTTGGAGACCCAAGAACTGAATTGATGGGAAAGTCTGAAAATTGAATAGGAAAGTGAGGGGAAGCCTTGTAGCATTGTTATTTTCTGCTGTTCTGATTTTTCCCGATTCTTCTTGGTCTCATTCCCAGCTGCTCCTCAATACTCCTGGAAGCTCCTGGGAGGGTCTAGGAGCAGCTGGGAGTGAGACCAAGAACAATCAGGAAAAATCAGAACAGCAGAAAATAACAATGCTTACAAGGCTTCCCCTCGCTTTCCTATTCAATTTTCAGACTTTCCCATCAATTCAGTTCTCATTATTTCTCGGGTCTCCGAAAGTATTTTCCATTTTTCTCCATCATTTCTTCCTCAATTTTGCAAATAATTATATGTCCTGAAAGCACTTTAAAGGCACTATAGTTCCTGAATTTTTTTTTTGATTTTTCCCTAAATTTTCCTCCCACTGTTCCTGGCACATTACATACTCCTCACCACTCCCAGCTGCTCCTGAACCCCCTCCCAGGAGAACACTATTGGCTCCAGGAGTGCCCAATCTGCTGTTTTGTCTCCCACATGCTCCAGCCACTCTTGATGCTCCGGAGCATAACGGACTTTTGCTGATGCATTGTTGTTAAGAAACTCGGCTTCATAATTGGGTTCCCATCTACCGTTCTTCTTTGGCAATTTAGGTAGCTCTGCCTCCATTGCCCTTCGAGCTCTGTGTGCATCATTGCTTAAAGGAATTAAGCCACCGGCAAACTTGCCAGAGACACTGAAGATTCGAACAGGGTCTGAGAGATGACCATAATATTTGTAAACAGGTGATGACATTGGAGAGAATGGAAGGCCAGATCGATAAGCATCCCATGGGGAATGGCTAAAGAGTTTCTGAGTGCCACGGATGACAGAGATTGACTCATGATTCTGTAAAACAAAGTGACATCACATCATCGAAACACTTGAAATACAATTCATTTGGGGCTCACCTTGAATTGGTTCCAATCAGAAGGAACAACTGTGTCGCCTCCTGCTGACCAGAGTGAAACCAAGTTTTGCGTCCAAAATTGTTCAAATTCTCTCTGCAAATAATTAGATTCGCGTGAAAAGAGGAGCGAAGGGTCCAAGTGTTGGAACAAGTGTGTAAGCACATAGTCGATATGGTTGGGTTGCCGAATCCTCCGAGTCTTAGACTTCCACTTCTCTTCGTCTCCCAAAGGAAGTTCAGTAGGGAAACCAAACTCATTCCTTTCAATGACACCATTCAGAAACCGAAGGAGCTGCAACCCAATCGAATACCCTTTCTTGTCGCTAATAAAGAATACTTTGTCCTTTTTCTTGCCAATCGGAATCCCTGTGATAAATTCCTTCACTGTCGCATGGTAGAATTTGACGGGCTTCTTGTTCACTGAGGGTAGATCGATTATTGAGCTGATGGGCTTGAGTATCGAGTGCACTTCATGCTCAGGAATCAATCCGAGGAGCTGTGACAGGTCATACACACTGAGTTTCCTCCGTGCAACAATCATCATCCCAACAACCTCACGGTATTTCTTTGCGATGTGTGGATCAATTTTTGGACGGTGTTGTAGATAAGCCCGTCGCAGTATTCGCAAGTACTCCGAGTTCAGATCCCGAGGCGCGTCGATGAGATTGCGATAGTAATCAAACTCGGTTTTCAGCACCGAACCGCATTCAATTTGAAGGAGGACGTCACGTATTCGGGTCGAGGCAATAATAGGCAAGCCACGGCAAGCTGAAGAGAACGCATCGAGGTCCTTCTTGGTCGGTTTCCAGGGAGACTCCATGAAACAATCTTGAAGCCCTTTCTCGACCATACAACGGATTGTGTGGGAATTTTCGTCTTCCGCAATCTGATCCATATCTTCATGAGCGATTGAAAGATGCGGATTGACTCGAGCCCAAGCGGAGACTACTTGCGGCTCTGGACGGCAGCTGACGAGTATGGCAAATGTCGAAGGCAGCTGATCAAGCAGAAGAACGAGCCTCGTCAAGGACGCAAGCACGTCTGGATTCCCGCACTCATCGAGTCCATCCAATACGATCACAGGGCGACCCTTTCCCAAAGACAATACACCCCCGAGTTCACGCATAGGGTTAATGATCCAAGCTTTCACCTCTTTCTCTGCAGCGGAACCATCAATACTGCTGAATGAAGCGGGATCCCGAAGTTGCCTGATAAGCAAGCTCTTATACTCAGCGTTGAATGCCGCAAGCTGTCGGGCAAGAGTGGAGGGGAAGCGTTCAATTGAATCGAGTCCTGTTCCCTCTTGGTTCTTATCCCAGAAGAAGGATGCTGCAAGGGTGCGCTGCTTGTCGAGCGTGGAAGCTACACTCATAGATATCGCAGTTTTCCCGGTCCCGGGCGAACCACGCAGCCAGACAAATCGGTTCTTAGGATCCCTCAGGTACTCGAGAATTGAGCTACGGATGGTGTCCCGAGTGGTTTCGAGGCATTCTGACTTGCTCTTCACACGGTAATACTCGGCACCTACTTTGGGCAGTTTTGAAAGCTCGTCTGAAAATGGCACTGAGACAAAGAGTCTAGAATCAAGCAAAGAAGACGAACAATCCACCGACACCTGAATCGTATTGAGGAGGTTTAAAGTTGTTGCCACCGTCTATAGAGAGCACTCTATTAGTTGAAGTCTAGCGGCATAAATACAAATCTTACGAACCGCGAACCGGGAGAGAGCTTCACTAATACACGTCCTCACACCATTTATGCTTTGCGCTAAAGAGCCTGCCGTGAATATTTTCTTCAAAGGCTTTCGACTCTGACTCTCGAGCGGCTTGATCCTCTTGACTTGGTCTTCTAGGGCCCTGCCAACGATTTTTCAAGTCTGAATGAAAGATCAGAACGGCAGCCACATACAAGTGTAAATCTTTGAGTGGGAAAATGACTTCGGGAGGAATGTGTCCCGTCCATAGCTGGAGGGGGCGCAGAATCGTGTTATATGCATTTTGCACATCATCACTCAGCCCTGTGAGAGCTTCATTATTACCACTAACATTCTATGTGAATGAAGCAAACGTCAGGAATATATCATTACTAGTTGTAAAAAGCCGAACCCCGTAAACCTGAAGCAGCGTGAGAAGCAAGTCGGGAATGTGAGGGAGGAACGGGATGGGAGAAAATTTGAGAGCGGTGGATGCAGTTCGGAGAATGAGCCTAGTGGCACTAATGATACTCTTCTTTTTGCCATCCGACTGGCCAGCCGACGGCGACGGAGTCGGTTCTGACGCAGGGGGTACAGGTAAATTCATCCCTGCATTTTCCAGTTGTGTGCGGACGCTTGCATTATTGCCGTAGGGGGCCCAAGGGTTAGGAGTATCACAATGGGATTCGGAGCCCGATGGCGCCGAAGAGGGAGATGGCAATCGGTCCGAATGCGCAGGAGATGAATGTACGGGCGCGGTGGTAGCAGATAATTCGGAGACAGGTGTGCTCGATCTGCTGGCACTATTGACATTTGACCGCCAGGTCCTCATATCTGGTGCGAGGGACTGGAGACCGCCAGAAGGTGACCATGATGCCACAATCCGGGAAATTTCGGGATGAGATTCCGTCGATCCATCCCACCGATCACGGTCACTACCTTCGCAGGGGGTTTGTGAGCTGGCGTGATAGATTCCAAGCGATGAGACCAAATCCTGTAATTGCGATTCATTCTCAGGTAGCTCAAGCACGGGAATTGGGAAAGGCCAAGGGTCACCGGGAGGACCAGAAGCGGACGCAGCCTCGTAAACCCTGAGAGATGACCCCACTGATCTGTAACCATGAGAAATATTGTCGAGACCCGAGATTTGGGGAGGCTGTGGACCAACGGGATGGACCTGGGGTGATGAAGCCGAGGTATATGGGTGCAGACGACCGTAAGATGACCCGGGCAGCGCAGTCGCACTGCTTTGGAAAGGCATCTGGTAACAATCGCCAGAAGATCCAAAAGTAGGCGCGACTCCGGGGGAAACAGGTTTGAGTCCATTGGGACAATCATGATCAATGAGGCGGGCGGCTCCGAGGTTCTGCGGGCTGACAAGGGTTTGAGGCGATGATGCCGTGGTGTAGGGGTACAAATGACTGTAAGATGGCCCGAGCAACGTAGTCCCATTGCTTTGGGGAGGCGCCTGGTATCGATCACCAAAAGTAGGCGCCACTCCGGGACTGACGAGATAGGGTCCATTGTACCAATCAAGGGGACTATTGCCATATGCTTGAAGGCTCTGCGGGCTAACCTGAGGCGATGATGCCGAAGTGTGGGGGTGCGGATGACTGGAGGACGGCCCGTGTGGCTCGGTCATACTCTTATAGGAGGCTGCTTGGTATGAAACATCAGAAGACATGGGCGCGACTCCGGGGGCGACGCGGTGAGGTCCACTGTGCCAACCGTGAAGACTACTATCGCTGGTGAGGAGAGCCTGGCCAGTGGGATGGAGCTGGGAGGGGTAGAATGCTGACGATGGGGCGGATGACTGCTGATGATCAGTGTCGGATAGCGTAACGGAGTGCCGCTTTGGTAGGTGAAGCTCAGAATCAGGGGTAGAGTGTCGTTTTCTTTTGCCTTGGCGATCCATGGCGCAAGTGTCAGTGTTGGCCAAGAAGAAGAATATTACATAGCCTCACGGCCTGCACTGGTGTATCTATTATGTAAAACATCCATGTGAAAGAAACAAGCAAGAATGGATGCAAGTTCGATGAAAGCTATTGCCTTGGGAAATGGAACGCTGCTACGGGAATAGTTAGATGAAGCTAGCCAGATAGCTGGGGATCCATTCTTTGAGCCACAGCGGCGCAGCTCAGCGGAACACTGCGCTCCTAGCCTGAGGTCCCCAATTATGGCAATGGATAATTCCTCTGCCATTCATGGAATTACAAATGCGTATTGGGTTAGCTGAGTATGGGGACATTTCAAGCCGATACTCTGAAGCGGAACTAGGACGAGGATTAGGAAACAACGCGTTGTTGCAATTTGGTGAGACAGATGTGACCAAAAGATCGAATCATGGCATGGCATTAGTGTCGGAGAACATGATGGCGACATGTCCCGAAGTATCGTGAAAGCAAATAGAACTGGACATCGATAAGAGCAGCCGTGGTAGCGCATGCTGGTGGGGGTGGAAGAATGATGTATGGGACTACTGCATTCCAATGTTACGAGACGGATGCAGGACGTGATGTTTTACGATCAAAGATGGTCGTCTGCGCAACACAACATGGATTATTGATACGTCGAAGACTTATTGGTAAGATATCCATTCCCCTTACTGAACAAGGGTGCGGTATCAGGAGGACAGCAGGTATTCATAGAAGGAAATACAATCCAAGGATATTCGATAGTTCCTAGAGACTTTAACTTACAGTACATGAGTCTAAGAAATGTGTGATTTTCGGCCGTGTCGAGGTACATACCTGATAACCGAATGCCAATTTCAGTCACCAGTGGGAGGGGAGTTGTAGCGTGTACCAGAAGTAAAATTGGTAGTGCAGGGACCAAGGCAATATCAAGTCCAGCAAATTATTGTGAAGAGAATCACAACGACTTCTCACATGAAATCTGAGGATCTCGCGGCGGCTCTACCATCATTTGGTCTTCTCAGAGCTCGCCCGAGGTTCAATACGGCGCTTCATTGTTTGCATCAAGAGAACTAGGGCAATCAGGTAGTCATCTCGAAAGACGTTGGCGAACGATTTAGACAAGAATATTTCTTCAGGGAAGAACCTTGAAAGCGGAATACACGGGAGTGTGTAAGACACATTCTATGGAATACCGTTTTAGGATTACGTATGTCGTTTGCCCAGCACGGCGTCTAGTAAGAGCCAGTTTGTGGCATCGCTAGCCAGATCAAACGGCACCATGTATAGAACCTGGAGTATAAAGGCCTGCTGAGAAGGTCTTTGGTTCTTCCTGCCGTCCATTAAGTAACGAGCAGCCAATGCATCGGATCGCACCCCGCGACATATCTGCAGATGAAATTTCACCACTCAGCTCAGGAAAACATTCTTGGGCAAAAATGACAAAAGCAATACGCACACCAGCGGACTATTTGGACCACAGATGAAGGAGTAGTTGCATTTGCCAGAACCGCACAAGTTAATTTGAGACTGCACATGTCGATCAGCGAGCTTTTATGCTAGTCTGTTGTTATTGTTGTTGTACTCACCCCACAGCCACGTTGATAGTGGTGACGGAGTCTTCTGGCTTGTGGTGTCGGATGGCTATGTATCTACAGTGCTTATGTCCCTCTATGTATGTCCCTCCGCCTCCTCCGCATGCTCCAGGTCTCCTGCCCCCTCCTTTGATCGATGGATTAATAAACTCTGCCAGTCTGGGGATGCCCTTCAGTTTCCCCATGAGTGTCATGAGGCAGGCCTGGCATCTGCAACCCGAGATGGTGGCTGAATTTCTCAAATTGTGAGCACGAGTGGAGTATGTGTGAGCCTGAGTTGCACAGGTGGTCATGGATGTCCAGCAATCCTTCCATGTTTCATGTGAGGTCTGTCTGGCCTGAGTCGAGCACCTTCCTTGGAATTCAAGCTCAAATTTATGTATTTACCGTTGTTTACACCCAGGTCTACTTCTAGCGGTGGCCCAGACTCGTAAAAAGAACCCAGTCTGAGGCGCTCCATGGACGCGCAAAATAATAGCTTTTTTATATAACTGGTGGCACCACCCTGCATGTTGTTGGAGAATATAATATGTTCCCAATAGTATAGAGTTTATCAGCCTATACTGGCATGGCTCAAGGGTGATGTTAGAACTGGGCAAGGGCGGACGATTCCGGAGGGGAACTGGAGACTTAGCAAGGAGGGACCTTGGCCTCAGCGACTCAAGTGGAGCACTGTGCCATTGCTGTTTGTCCATTTGGTCCTTAATTTCATAGGAGGTGAGCAGGAAGTCTCTAGGGGGCATTTCAGGTCGATTTTAGACTAAGGCCTAAAACGAGTATGTACAGGCACCGATATATATAATGGGAGGGCAAAAGCACAAGGAAACAAAGGGGATCCGAATCGGAACAAAGGCATCCGAACAGGAACAAAGGGAAGACCAAAGCGGAGCGGTACTGAAGGTCATAAGGCAGAACCTGTGGTATGTCCGAAAGGAGGTAAGGAGGGCGAGGCCCAGAGGGGCAGGAGGATGAGTGGAAGTGGGGATGATGACTAACTGGCTAGAATGGAAGAAGCAGCAGTCCAAATAGGGATGAGGGGAAAACGCAAGAGATACATTACAAGCAGCGAAAGTGCTGAAGGTGATCCGTGGAGCTCGGAGGTTGCGGAGCTTACGGAGGTTGCGGAGGCGGGGTTGAAAGTCCAAGGGATATTGGCAATGGTGTTTACGTAGTATGAGGTCACCAATGCAATGGACTAAGGCTGAGGTGGAGTCAAAGTCCGAGGTAGGAGCTATGACGGAGGCTTGGAGCAAAGGTACGAGCGGTGTTCGAGTATGAAGTATGGGACAGCGGCAGAAGGTCGTAACTTGGCAGGGGGTCGATGGAAGAGGGCCAGAGGGGAGAGAGAGGAAGGAGGAATGAGGAAAGGTGTGGAGGAGAGGAAAGGTGTCAGGTCCGAAGGTGAGTATCGGAGCAGACAGGAGAAGAGTAGGAGGGTGATGGAAGGGTGGAGGTGTTGTGGGGAGGAAGCGGAGGAGTTGGAGGAGTAGTAGGAGGGTGGTGAGAGGGGTGGTGTTTGGTCTGAGGTAGGTATCGGAGCAGACGGAGGAGTGGAGGTGGCATGGGGGGGGTGAGAGGAGTAGTGGTGTCAGGACTGAGGGTGAATATTGGAATGGGCAGCAGTAGGGCAGGACTCCGGAGGTGGTGAAGAAGGAGGTCCGGGAGTTGGGTTGGAATCAGATATGCATGGATATGACAGGTGAGTAGTGTATGGATGCATGCTAGAGGTCCTGGGTTTGATACCAGGCTTGTCCATGATTTTATGTCCTTGCCACGTGACCTGGATTTTAAGCCATTTGAATTGGAGCTCCAGATAAGTCCAGTAGTCGCACTGGATACAATTTCGACACATGTTTGCTGACTGTTAGACACTGGTCTGGGGTCAGCACTGGGGGTCGCCGTTGTGGGCCACTATAGGCCACGATGGCTGTGATGCCGGGAACAAGGCCTGAGGGTAGGGCATTTGGCCTCAGCAACTCCAAAGGAGTGCTGTGCCCCCTAGCTGTCTCTTGGCCCTCATTTCAGACTTACTGGGGTTGCCTTGCTGGGGTCAGGACTTAGGGTCATGGTCAAATTGATATTAGAGCTAAGGTACAATAAAGTAACATACAGGATATATATAGGGAGAAAGAATGAATGGAAGTGGACCCGGGCCGAAGGCCGAAGGGTCCGGAAGCAAACAGGAATAAGGAGTGGGGTTGGCCACATAGTGGCCGGCAATGACCAAGGGTCAAAACAAACAATAACAGGTAAATAAAGGAAGGAGCGTAGGGCCACGATAGTGGCGATGGTATCATAGCGGCGCTGGACTCTGAGTTGGGCCGGAGTCAGGCATGGGAATGGTAGCGGCCCTGTAGGGGCCAAGTGGGTGGGGTAGTGTCAGACAGGTCGAGACAAAGGAATGTCTCCATGGTGGAGGGCTTCGGCCTCAGCGACTTATGCCAGGAGCGCTGTGCCAAGTAACACGTCCATGCCCTAACTTACTAAACTGGCAACCAGAACTGAAGGGGGGTAAACTCTAGTCGATTTTATTACTGAGGTGTAACCTATGTACAAGTTGAGTATATATAGTTACAATGAGGGCAGGCCCGCAAATGGCAGAGCTGAGTGGAGCGGAGCTAATGGGGTTAAACATTAGCTGATTGAATATTACCGACAAGTCGGGTTACGGGGTTAATGGAATGGTAGGTGATAACCCAGAAACGGAAAGGAGGGATAGGCCCGAAGGTGGGCTTGCAGGGCAAGTGAGTGTATTGCCCAGTGGAGATGGGAGTGCGCTAGTGGATGTCGGAGCTGTCCGGAAGCCTTCAGGGCTCCATACTTAGGGAGGCATAGGTAATAAATTGAAAAGAGGGGGTGGTGACCATTGAGGGATACCGAGGTGATTGCGGAATACAGGAGCCCCGAGGTTAGTGAAGAAGGAGCGGAGGTAGTCTGGAGAGATCGGAGGTAGTGGAAGTCGATGGTCATGGATGGATATGACAGGTAGAGGAGCCACACCGGGCATGGTGCCGGAGGCGGACTCAGGGTGGGAAGGTTGGTGTGGCTGTGGGGAAGTCGGCCAGGTGCAGGGGAGCCTAGGGGCAAGCAGGGGAGTGAGCAGGGAGTCCTCAGGGAGGATAGGGCTGAGGTTGGGGCTTGCGCTCATGCTCGCATAGTGGGAATGGGCTCGGGCAGCATCGGGATGGGCGGCTAATGGGCCGGAATGCACAGCTGTGACACTGACTTCCATCTCTGCGAGACTGAATTAATTCTCTATTGCTTGCACATTGACTGGTCAACCAACATCTTTCAGGAGCCACTATCATGATGCATCAGCTCTGTGTCCCCAACAACATGTAGTGCAGAATGTCATAGGCAGAAAGCAGAATAATCAAACCATAGCCAACACATGTCAGGAGAGCAATCGCTATTTTTAAGACCCATTTGAATATAACCAGACCAAAAGAAAAGTGTGATGTTGTTCCAAATTCAGGGAAAAGGCAAGTGGAACTGACTCGAGTACCTTTTGAATCACAAGGGGAGGGGTAGCTGGGAGAAACATAATTTCAGCCAGTGGCCACGCAGTCAGCTGCATGTCACAGCAATAACCTGTGCATGGAAGATGTTAGAACTGGGTGAGGGCAGACGATTCCAGAGGGGAACCGGAGACTTAGCAAGGAGGGACCTTGGCCTCAGCGACTCATGTGGAGTGCTGTGCCATTGCTGTTTGTCCATTTGGTCCTTAATTTCAGAGGCATTGAGCAGGAAGTCTCTAGGGGGCATTTCAGGTCAATTTTAGACTAAGGGCCTAAAACGAGTATGTACAAGTGCCGGTATATAATGGAGAGGGCGAAAGCACGAGGAAACAAAGAGGGTCCAAATCGGAACAAAGGTGTCTGAATGGGACAAAGGGAAGATGAAAGCGGAGTGGTACTGAAGGTCATAGGTCAGAACCTGTGGTACATCTGAAAGGAGATAGGGAGGGCGAAGCTCAGAGGGGCAGGAAGATGAGGTGAAGTGGGGATGATGACTAACTGGCTAGAATGGGAAGAAGCAGCAGTCCAAATAAGTGTCAGAACCGTGCTAAGCTTTGCTGATGATAGCTGTCAGCGACTGAACATTGGCCACTAATGATACAGGCATCCTACTCACGACCAAGCTTTAGCAAGGATCAACCCCACCGATCTCGAGGCCAAGGCTACTTAGGCAAGCAGGCCGGGATTTTGGCTTCAACGACTCAGGGAGGAGCGTTGTGCCTCGTTCTTGACGTGGTCCTGATACTTCAGAAGGCGGAGGTCTTACAGGGAACAGAGGTAAGCTTAGGGGGAAATTTCTAGTTGATTTCGAACTGCTGTACAAGCAATAGTTACAGGCTGTATATAAGCGCTAGGGAACTGAATAGACAGTAAGTTGCCAGATCTCATGGAGATTGCAGGCAGAAGAAAGAAGAAGGAAAACAAACAAAGAGGCACATGGTTAAGACAGTGAAAGTCAGTGTGACCTTCGCTGCAAGATAACCAGGTGTGGCGAAACGTGGAGCAAGGGGTCATGGTGCTCTGCACTGCTGAGTCGTTTGATGACAATTGGGGAAGGAGATGTTGAGGCGTGGTGGGGAGTGGTTGGACAGCGATGGGTGGTGAGCGGAGTGTGTGGGGAGTGTTCAGGCATGGGAAAAGGTCAGGGAGGAGGTTGTCTGACTCCGGGGAATGCCAGGTCATGACAATAAGGATGAGGGGAAAGCGCAAAAGATACATTACAAACAGTGAAAGTGCCAAGTATGATCCATGGAGCTTGGAGCTTGTGGAGCTTATGGAGGTTATGGAGGTGGGGTTGAAAGTCTGAGGAATGTTGGCAATGGTGTTTACATAGTATGAGGTCACCAATGCAATGGACTTAAGTGTTAGAACGGGCGGATCCGGATGACTCTGGAGTGGAATCGGAGACTTAGCGTGGAAGGACCTCAGCCTCAGCAACTCAGGTGGAGCGCTGTGCCATTGCTGGTTGTCCTGGGGGTCCCTAATTTCAGATCTAGCAGAGGGAAAGTCTCTTGGGGGCATTTCAGGTCGATTTCGGACTGAGGTTACAAGTTACTATGTACATTGTATATAAGGAGGGGTCCGGAATCAAAAGGAGCAAGGGTACTCCGAAAGGAGACAAAGGGAGCTGGAAGGAGGAACAACACCGAGGGTCAAGGGTTTGACTCAATGGTGTTTCCCAAAGGAGGAATGAAGGACCAAGGCCCAAGGAGGAAGGAAGGAGGATGGGAGTGGGGAATGGCCAGCTGACTGAATAGAAAGGAAGCAGCAGCCCA